CGTAGGTCAGAAGTTTATTTTCATAACAAATGATATCACGTCGTATAGACCTCGTCATTCTCATAAAATGTGATTGTAGAAACATTATTATAATTGTAATTTCTGTAACGAATAAAATATACAATGATACTGGCATGCAGGTGTGTTTAAGGTATAATGGCATTTCTTGGATAAATGTGTATGAGAACGATCGGCAAAGTAGAAAATTCGGTTGGGCTGACTAGGCATAGAAAATTTTCGCCTCACACTTATTCACTACGTGTAGAAAATATTACGCTGACGTATCGATGTGGTGATGGTGCTTCGTCGCGCTCCACCCAGAGGCATGACTTGTACATGTCGGTGTACCCCGACTCCTCACGTAATAGGCAAATTTTTCTGATTATTTTATCATTCAAATGGCAGATATCGTCATGTAGCCTTTAGCACCTATAGCAACTTTCACAAAATTATATAACAATCTACACTCTGAGTATTGCACGACTTTTCGATAATTTTACGCGTACGACGATCGAAGTCAACGCGTCGCTTTCGAAGCCAACGTTAATGGGTGAGAACGTAAAATAGTTTGTGTGATGGGCACTAGATAACATAGGTAAAGAACAGAATAATTACAAATACTACGGGTAAGAGACACAACGCTGATATATGCGTGCCCGTTGTTGTCGACATTTCAACCGTATGTGAATTTTATAGAGTTCGACAAAGGTGTGGAATTAATTTTTGTGTTTAATTGAGTTTGACATCGATAAATTCGATATCCTTATTGAACGAAATGCATAAGGCAAAAACAAAGCTGCCTTAAGAACTGATGTCAGCCTTAGTTATAACCCTTCAAGAGATTTTATTATAGTATCATAAAAAGACGTAATTCAATACGTGAATTTCAAGAAAATTTCGTGCATTCACGCTGCAGTCTTGCAATTCACGCATACACATAGGGTGCAATTGAAGCATGTTAGAGTTCTCCGTATCGCCTGTTATGATACTATAGCTGTATATAATATAATGGGACGGATGGAAATGGGTGTCATTAACAACACGAGATGAAGTAGAATGAAACATAAAGAAGGGTGAATCGCTTGTTATGATACTATAGCTGTATATAATGGAACGGATGGAAACGTAGTCATTAACAACACGAGATGAAGTAAAAGAAGGGTGATGGGAACCTAGAGACATTGGACATTAATCATATACAGAGATAGCTCCACAAGGGAAACATCATTAATGATTTACATATGATGTTTAAAATATAGCAATTAATGAATGTAAATAGGGATAGAAGCTATAATTACTAACGGATATGTAATGTCATCACTTTGGTTTAATGATCATGATATTTTGATATAAGCCTATATACACATAAAAACATGTAATAAGATGTATTATAATATATAATGATATTACAAATAAAAATGCACCATATGAATATAAATAGAATTGAATATATATATATATATAATATAATATATAATATATAATATATACAATATATAAAATATTATATATATAATATATTTATATATATATATTTATGAGAATGTTACACTTTAAGATATAAGGTCTTGGCTTCAAATTTAGATATAATAGGTTAAAACAATAAAGGAATAAATGTGACCAAATCCCGATAAAATAATTACAATTAATGACATAATAGTAATTAGTGAAATTGGCCTTAAAGTTGCTTAAAGTAAATTTGGTTTTACTTCTACAGGTAGGCCTACTTATTTTTTTTATAACTTTTTTTGTATTCCTGATGCTTATTATGTATGTCTGTATCTATAAAAAATAGTCTTTTATATATTTTGAAATTTGCATTTTAGTATAAAAAATATACTTAGTTCAATTAAATTATGTCGTAAATCCTTCATGTTTACAAAGACATGTTAGTAAACGTCGATTACTTTACACCGTTGATTCAATTTCTACTTAAAGCAAGTAGGCCTATTAACAATACATGATATGACTGACCCTATCTACAATCAATACAATGAATAATCATAATAATTACTGGAAATTGTTGGACGTCGCGTCTGAGTTTCTTTCGTTAATACGCGTTATCACGCGTTATCACATTTCGTAGCCAGGAACAATTTATTAGTTGGTTAGGATACACACGTTCGAACTCCATATTTAATGGACCTTTCCGCTAACCCCTAGCGCCCCGCCCTTTGATAAGGTCCAAAACGACAGTGTAAAAACATACGCAAACACGTGCCTGTGTGGGAAATCTTGTGTGTTTATAAGACACGCGCGTATTGCAGGCCCTGTTCTGATTGGGCAGCTATTACATTCTGGAAAGGTCAATTGTTTTACTGAATAAAATTTCTTAGTAGAGCACCCATGTGATTGAATTATGTACCGGCTTTTGTCACATTAACAGAAACTTCGCTTAATAAGAATAATAATAATATTATTATTAATAATAATAATAATAGTTATAGTAATAAATAAATATTCATTTCAATTAGTTCAACTAACAAACAAATGCCACAGTTTAGGAGGTAAACCTGTGTACAACAACAACAAAAACAACAACAACAACAGCAGCAGCAGCAGCAGCGGCGAAGATGACGACGACGACGACAATAATAATAATAATAATAATAATAATAATAATAATAATTAAATATTCATTTCCATTAGTTCAACTAACAAACGAATGCAAAATTTAGGAGGCAAACCTGTATACAGATTCCGGTAACTAATTTAATATCTTTGTAACTGAACTACATATTAACGGACATCTTTATAGTTGTGTTAATTTTTGTTTTATTATAAGGATGCACCGTTTACTTTAAACTTGTGCCACCTATCTGAAGGTGTATATCCAAATTAATAAAACTGATACACAAACTAACATGTCCTTAAACCCACCTAACTCTCAATATGATCCCAATTAAAACCTGACGCTGGCCGAGTTTGAACCGGGGTCTTCAGCACAAAAAGCAGGAACAATAGTCTGCCTCTCAGCTTATTTACCATTATTGATGAATAAATGTCACTTTAAATGAAAAAAAAAACTGCTACTTTTGCAGTTGCTGGTAAACGGACACTTTAAAATGCAATATTGTCAAGTTTTGAGGGCACTAGTAAAGAAGCCGAAAGAGTCGTAATTTCCTTTAAAAAATAGAGAAAAACTCGCAGGGCCGCGCCTTCATGCAATTTCAGAAGGAATCATTGAGCAATATTTATTGAACACTAATGCAAATTAGTGTTCATTCGTGAATAGGACAATTACGGGAGTAGAAAATGACGTCACGATTGACTTATAATATTTATTATTTGAATGATCGATTTAGTTTTCTATCGATCAATAAAGCGGCATTTTCACAAGCATGTGTATTTTCTCGAGCTTTCAATCAATGTCTTTTTGAAATATAAACATCCTTTACTCATCGTCCTGTTGAATGGCCGAGATACATCGCGTAGCCACATTATTAACGCGAATATGTAAGCCTAGTGTATGCACGATCGACATTTAATCTGTATGAGATTACCAATTTGAGAAAGTAACGATAGACGAATAAAAATTTTCATCATTAAATTCATATTCGAGGTGGGCGGACAAAATACACTAACAGTCTGCACAAGATGATTTGAATAAACGAGAACCGTGTATGTAAACGCTAGACATTATGTCACATGCCGGCCATTGACGTGTTCTAGCAAAGCTCAATATCAAAAGAAAATTGAAATACTGTAGAAATGTTTACCACAACTTTATGAATCATCAACTTGACAGGGATACGTACTTTGTTTCAAATACAGTACGTTTCATTAAAAATAGCAGGCTATTACCGTTGCTACAGATAACAGATGTTTAATACTAAAACTTTAACATATTATTAAATTAAATAGTAATACATACTCTATAATAATAATAATAATAATAATAATAATAATAATAATAATAATAATAATAATAATAATAATAATAATAATAATGATAATAATAATACCACCGCCAGCATCATCACCAGAACCACCATTAAACATCACCACAAGCACCACCATCAACACCACTTCGGCACCCCGTCACCAATTGGGCCTACCACCACCAGTGCCATGATCGGCACCACTATCAACAGGACCGCCACCACAAACCAGCACCATACCACAAACACCACCAGTGAAAACAACAACCACAGAAGCAGATCAAAGGGCTGGGTCGGATGCAGGATTTGGTGGTAGAGGATGCGCGAGAGTCCACACCACGAACATTTTGAGAATATGGACTTCTAGGTTCCGGAAGTTGCACTTTCGTACAATTTAGAGGGTGCGATCGCACCGTCTGCACTCCCCACACCCTGTACCCGCCCTAGAAGGGAGGGGATGGTTCCCTTTCCCGGATTCCTCCTCCTAATTGTCTGCCATACTTACTTTTAATGTATCTAATTTCGAAAATAAAGTTGCTCCGCTCTACGTAGTCTCTATATATCCTGAATCCTTTTTTTGTCAAGACAGTATTTTAACCTAATCTTGGACCATACATTTTGAAATGCGCATTATTAAAATGTTTATAAATAAATCAACAGAGCTAGCTGTTTGCAGTGATGCATGCGCGTACGTGTCACGCTTCACTTAACATATTATTTTACTTATGTGCATGACTTAATCTTCAAGCAACTACAAGTAAGTAATGCTACTAGTTATATACTTGTACAGTATCGAAATGAACATATTCACACTGCGTTTGTGGTGCGTCATGAAAATAAACCAACACTGCGTTCGATTCGAGAATGCTCAATAATTTGAGCGCGAATAAGAAATAAGAAGACGGTAATATATAGCCCCATACTGTTGCTTTATCTCTCAACCCACAAAGGACGAATTTTACTATTATAGGTCTATAGGGATCAGTTGAAAAACATTATAATCTATAGTAAGAAACGATATCAAGTCGACATAAGATGTCTACACGCAAGCCGTTTTAGTTATTTATTGAAGCCAGTGCGACAGTCGTTAAAAATACAATTATGAATTATAGCACTCACCACTATGACGGAAATCGATCTGTATATACTATTATTACTATTATCTGTATGTTCTTCTGCCTGCCTATATCCAGCCCCGTATCCAGCTCACCACCGCAGCAGAAGTCCTTGGTGGATCTGATCTACTGTATAATCCGAATGGTCTAATGAGTTCTACGCGGCGAAATAGATTTCTGAATTCTCACATTCACGACCTCTTCTGAGCTCCGATTGGCTAATAGCCGGCAGACGATCGATGGTTTAATAATGCGCATCGATTACATGATAAGAAAGAATCCAGAAAACTCATATTTCAATTTAGGCTGATTGAAGAATATGAACACGACGTAAGGGGATTACATCACGTCTAACATGAACGACAAGCAGACACACACTGCGTCTATGTTCGCGATGTTACAATTTTAACAAGTCGATTGTTAATGCCTTGTATGTTGAATTGCTCGCAGGCATTAAATCTGTCATTTACAGCTTCTAGGTACTAGAGATTGCAGTTGTGTATTATTAGTATGACTGACTTCATATGCAACTCAATGACACACCAAAACATGAATATATTGTTTTGCAGGCTCAGGTTTTCCAAAATTATAGAGATATAAGTCTCCGTCTTAGCCTAGATGTATGACACTGTGCCTTTGCCAGCGAGAAGTCGCAGATTCGAATTCCGCCGGACACATTTTTTCACAAATTTTTACTGCTTCTAGGTACCATAGTTACCAGTTGTGTATTACTAGTATGACCGAATTTTTACAAGTCATTGACGCACCAAAAGCTGAATAAACTGTTTTGCAAACCTAGGTTTTCATACAGATAGGTCTCCATGGTCTAGAGGTATGACGTTTTGGCTTGTCAGCGAGAGGTCGCAAGTTCGAATCCCATCGGAGAATTTTTTTTCACAAAACTGATAAGGATCATTTTCGTTAATGGGCTATGTCTCATACGTTATGACATCATATAAATCATCAAAGGTACATATACGGTGTTTAATAAGGACACGATGGAACATCGTAGGCTACCCTGTAGCTTTTCAACGAATAAAGTCCTATGAAAAATCATTGTGTAATAAAATGTCTCCGACGGGATTCGAACCTGCGACCTCTCGCTGACAAGGCGAGCGTCATAACCACTAGACAACGAAGGCTTCATGGTTGAACAGGTCCAAATACCCGTCGGGAACATTGTATTTCACAATGCTATCAATGTTATGACATCAGTTATTCCTAAAGCACTGTTTCTATCATTTACCTCTTTTGCCTTGTTTATATTCTTTCTGTTAGTTGTAGCTCTACTTCGGCACATTGAGCACCCTCTCCTGATGATCTTGAATCATATACTTGCCTATGTATATATACATATATCCTAAAGCATATAATTATAAACGTAGTATATTAGTATGTGATCCACGTGTGTTCCTTAGATATATAGCTCAATGATAATGACGGCAACGACTCAGTAGACTTAAAACTAAATTTATTCAGAACATGAATATTTCGGCCTGTCCTCGGGTCTTCATTAGTATGTGTCAAAAATGAAATACAAGTTAGGTATTAAAGAAATATGATATAATAAATGAAATTATATATCGATTATTGTCATAGCCATAGCTTATTTTATTTTGGGTTCGATTTCCACAAGATTTCTCTATCATGCAACTATAATAGGGAACTTTATATATATATATAATGAGCACACTCATTATTGGGTTTGTGCACTCTTGTATTCATAATCAGTGTACCACGTCACACAAGACTGACCCAAGCTATGTTTGAGTCAGTGGTGTGTTTCATTCTTAAACATCCTGAGCTGCACTGATGAGATCTAACAAGATCGAAACGGTACTGTCTGCAGATTGGAAT